CAAGTGAAGATTCACACCTCTAGTGACCAAAGCCTACTGGTTGTGCAGCACCAAGCTTTGTGAAGCACATCGTGATTTTTATCTCGAGAGGCGCTATAGAAAAGACCGTTTTAGTTCTTTCTTTATTTCTGTCCATTCCATCATTTCATTCATTGTCTTAGTAATCTTGTCTACCATCATTCATTATACTTTGTCATGTATAATCTTTAGTTTAGAAATATCTATATCTAATATTTTATAAACTATATCCTCGACTCTGTCTGCATTAATATGGTGTGTGTTCCCTGACAAGTTCAAAGGACCTAAGGTAATATTCAATCAAATATCCAAAGACCATTCAGACTGATAATTCATATTTATATGGAATATCACGTCTTATTGATCATTTAACAGAATATGTAGCTACATCTTCAGCTTTCGCTGGAGCGGTTCGCAGCCGAGTGTGAAGCAGCTGGGATGAGAATCAGCTCCTCTAAATCTGAGACCATGGTCTTGAGTCAGAAAAGGGTAGAATGCCTTCTCCGGGTCAGGGATGAGGTCCTGCCCCAAGTGGAGGAGCTTAAGTATCTCGGGGTCTTGTTCACGAGTGAGGGAACACTGGAGCGTGAGATCGACAGGCGGATTGGTGCTGCATCTGCCGGATACAAGCGGCCGAAATGAGTTTTCTCCAAAGAGTGGCTGGGCTCTCCCTTAGAGAGAGGGTGAGAAGCTTGGTCATTCGGGAGGGGCTCGGAGTAGACCCGCTGCTCCTCCACATCGAGAGGAGCCAGTTGAGGTGGCTCGGGCATCTGGTCAGGATGCCTCCTGGACGCCTCCCTGGTGTGGTTTTCAGGGCACGTCCAACCGGGAGGAGACCTAAAGGTAGACCCAGGACACGGTGGAGGGACTATGTCTCTCACCTGGCCAGGGAACACCTTGGGATTCCCCCGGAGGAGCTGGCCCAAGTGGCTGGGGAGAGGGAAGTCTGGGCCTCTCGCCTTAGGCTGCTGCCCCCGCGACCCGACTCCGGATAAGCGGATGAAAACGGATGGATGGATGGATGGATGGATGGATGTAGCTACATCTATCCCGCTACAGAAGATAGACTTCTCCACTATCTTCTGGTGTAAAGTAGTAACTTCATGAGGGATCGTATCTGCAGCTGTGGCTCCTTAAAGTCCACAATGACTTTTGCAACGTTGGTGCTTCAAGGATGAAATCGATCTTTAGACGTGAGAATCGATCCTCGTGAAAAATGATGAGAATCAATTAAGAATCGGATAATTGACTCTTTCAACACAACCCTCTCCATTGCTGTGTGGGAATTTTCAGAAGAAGGCAGAGGGATGGCTCAAGAGCCCTTTCTGAAAATATGTATTTTCAAGTATAATTATCAAAGTATTGAGTATTTTATAATTGTGTACGTTCATGATTACGATCACTTCTCTGCTGAAAGATGCATTACACATCTTTGATGATTAACTAGTCACTGAGCTGGTGCGTACTCCTGGACACAACATACCAGTCATTAAATAATTTGTTTTAATATAACTCGGTACAATTTTACAGACTGAGGAGTCAACAGTAAAATATTGAGTTTAAAAATGAGAAAGAGATGTTTCCCCAGTAGGAATGTTTATGGAAAACCTAATCTTCAGTTTCAGAACCAAATTTTTATCATTTCCTTTTTCCCAAAATGAAAGCAGTTCACTTTAGGATGATGAATGATATGTATGCGTGCTCTAAACGTTTTGGACTAAGTTTTATCGTGGACAGCAATAAATGCAAATTTGTCAAATAATAGTTTGTTTGAACGTTGTTAATAAAGAATTGTTTGAAGTAACAAAAACAGCATCCTGGCATGGCTGCAGTTCATGTCTATATGGTTACTGTCCCAGTTCGGTAGTTATTTGTACACTTGTTTACTACGCACTTTACTACTACTACTACGTTTTTTCAGCTCATTTTACACAAACCAGCTGGCATCACAACCTGCCACCTGATAAATGGTCACCAGCATTACGCCTTAGGGCAAAGTCTGACAATAATCTCAGTGCATATTAACATCGTCAGTGTGTAAATGAACATGAATAAAACTTCAAGAATCTCAGGGGGAAACGCTGCCAACACGCTGGGTTTCTGTCCTGGCAGCACTGGTCCAAACACTAGATCAAACACTGCCGCTCAGGGAAAACTAGTCTAAGGACAACTCAAATCCTCTCAGAACGACTAGATTGTAGGTCAGTTTCACATTGAGGGCCTACGCTGAGGAGAAACAAGTCACCTGATGTTGGACGCCTGCTCAGTGAACTCTGTGGCCACCAGGGAGAAGTACTTCCTCATCTTGATCCACAGGTTGGGTTTGGGGATGCAGCCGTTGTGGGCGTGGATGGCGTGGATACGAGCCATCTCTCTGGCTATCAGCCTGAGAACAGACAAGATTTCAAAATAAAATCACTTCAACCCTAACCTCAGAGTGGAGGAAACTCAGAGTTCCAGGACAGGAGAGTAATAACTGCCAAGTATAAATAACAGTAAAGAATAGAAATGTTCTAAGAACACACACACACACACACACACACACACGTTCTAGAGCAGGAGTAGTCACGGCTGGTCCTCCAGGGCCGCTTGTCCAGCAGGTTTAGTTGTTTCTCGGCTCCAACACACATGAATCAATGTTTGACTCCCCTGCTGATTAGACTCTGATGTGTTGGAGCAGAGAAACAACTAAAACCTGCTGGACAAGCAGCCCTGGAGGACCGGAGTGGCCCACCCGATTCTCCGGTGTGCCACCAGTGCTATGGCTCTATGTCCTGACCAGATTAGGGTTGGATCCCTGACATCCTGCGGCCCAAGAGCATCACCCTGCATGAATTCATAGCAGATGCCATTTTGAAAAGTGCAGTAGAGGCGAGGAGCACAACCGTTGGCGTGGAGCACCTGAAAGAGAGGCCCAAGAAGAATTCTCATTATGAAGACGTGTAAAACACCTGCTGGCGACCTGAGGAAGGCTCATCACACTACCTGAAAGCTCTTCAGCTCATTGTCTCTGTCCACTATCAGCTCTGTTTTGTTGCCGTACACTCGGACCAGGACCACATCCTCCGGACAGGCGTCCACAGAGCAGCCCACCAGCTTGTTGGTGGTTCCATCAGTGAAGAGCTGGAAGACAGAAAGTTGTTCACCAGAACACCACAACAGATACAAAGGCCGTTTTCTTCCCTAGACCACCTTGACTCATGGTGTTAGTGATGACCTCACCTGCTGCATGTCTCCTGATCAGCTGAGCCCAATTCTGAATCTGTATATTTGTACTCACTACCAGAACTACATAGTTATTTGTATGACTTTGATCTGTTTGGGGTGTTTTGCACCACTTGGAGCACTCTTAGGTTAGACCTGTGGTATGGAGGTCTTTCACCAACCCTAGTTCCGGATGTTTCTCTGAAAAACAAAGCAGGTTACAAAAGTCCCGACCAGCCACCACAACACAAAAGCACCCAACAGGGCGGGTATGACGTTATACGTGGATCACACTAATGTTGGTGGGGTCAAGTACAACACCGTAATCTAATCTTAAGTTCTCTTTGAGTCAGCACCAACACAGTGATGTCAGCTCTGAGCTGATGAGGTCAGGATCTAACCCTAACACACACACACACACACACACACACACACACACACACACACACACACACACACACACACACACACACACACACGCACACACACACACACACACACACACACACACAGCTACTTTCTAAGGAGTCTCTCACTGATGTGACTGATGGTCACTTCCTGTAGAAACTGCGTTCAACAGTGAATTTCCGATCTCTCTGCAGAGTTAGGGGCCTGACTTGTGTGTTTACCAGGAACACTGTGACACAAACTCTGTCGCTGAGGACATCTGGAAGTCTTTAAATATAGTTTTGTCATTATAAGTGAGAGGGAGGGATGACAATGGAGCAAGACTTCAGTACAGCTTTGAGGAGGTTCTGGTCCACCATCTAGTCCCATTGAGTCCCATTCTGTCCCGCTCTGAACTTGAGACAGTTCTCCACACCTTCATCTCCTCACGCTTAGACTACTGTAACTCTCTTTTCACGTGTCTGAGCAGAACCTCCCTGAACCGTCTACAGGTGGTTCAGAACGCCTGTGCTCGGCTTCTGACCAAGTCCTCCAAACACACCCACATCACCCCGCTTCTCCTCCAGCTTCACTGGCTGCCAGTCAACTTCAGGGTTTGTTTCAAGATCCTGGTTCTGGTCTATAGGGCCTTACATGGACAAGCACCATCTTACATTGGTGATCTTCTTAGTCCCTACACCCCCAGCAGGTCCCTGAGGTCCAGTGATCAAAGCCTACTGGTTGTGCAGCACCAGGCTAAAGGTCAAAGGTGACAGATCATCTGCTGCTGTGGCCCCCAGACTCTGGACCTCTCTCCCCCTGAGCCTGAGATCAGTGGACTCAGTGGTCTCCTTTAAAAAGCAGCTGAAGACTCACTTGTCCTAGCTGGCTTTTGTATGACCTTCTTCACCTCTCTCTCTTTATTCTGCTCTCCCCACCTATTCCACCTTCCTCAGGATCCACTGATTTCCCTCTTTCCTGTTCACTCTCTCTCTTTCTTAACATTTTTTCTTTTAAATCACAATTGCCTATTTTTGCTCATTTGTTTTTGTGAAGCGCCTCGTGATTTTTATCTTGAGAGGCGCTATAGAAATGATATTTTCTTTTTTTCTTTCTAGCACTCCAGGTTGTTTCCACCGCTGAAATGTAAATCCCTCTATCACGGTTCAGATACCTCACGTTAAACATGTTACGCATCCATTTGGACTGTTTATTCGAATTTTCCTACAGTAAATTCAGTCTAAAAACAATAGTTAGTATTGTCTGGCTGAATGTATCAATATATTTCGTGATGTATCGTATCGTCTCCCCTGTATCATGATGTATCGTATCCCCTGTATCGTGATGTATCGTATCCCCTGTATCATGATGTATCGTATCGTATCCCCTGTATCGTGATGTATCGTATCCCCTGTACCATGATGTATCGTATCCCCTGTACCATGATGTATCGTATCCCCTGTATCATGATGTATCGTATCCCCTGTATCGTGATGTATCATATCCCCTGTACCATGATGTATCGTATCCCCTGTACCATGATGTATCGTATCGTATCCCCTGTATCATGATGTATCGTATCCCCTGTATCGTGATGTATCATATCCCCTGTATCATGATGTATCGTATCGTATCCCCTGTATCGTGATGTATCGTATCCCCTGTACCATGATGTATCGTATCCCCTGTACCATGATGTATCGTATCGTATCCCCTGTATCGTGATGTATCGTATCCCCTGTATCGTGATGTATCGTATCCCCTGTATCATGATGTATCGTATCGTATCCCCTGTATCGTGATGTATCGTATCCCCTGTACCATGATGTATCGTATCCCCTGTACCATGATGTATCGTATCCCCTGTATCATGATGTATCGTATCCCCTGTATCGTGATGTATCATATCCCCTGTACCATGATGTATCGTATCCCCTGTACCATGATGTATCGTATCGTATCCCCTGTATCATGATGTATCGTATCCCCTGTATCGTGATGTATCATATCCCCTGTACCATGATGTATCGTATCGTATCCCCTGTACCATGATGTATCGTATCCCCTGTATCATGATGTATCGTATCCCCTGTACCATGATGTATCGTATCCCCTGTATCGTGATGTATTGTATCCCCTGTATCATGATGTATCGTATCCCCTGTATCATGATGTATCGTATCCCCTGTACCATGATGTATCGTATCCCCTGTACCATGATGTATCGTATCGTATCCCCTGTATCATGATGTATCGTATCCCCTGTATCATGATGTATCGTATCCCCTGTATCGTGATGTATCATATCCCCTGTACCATGATGTATCGTATCCCCTGTACCATGATGTATCGTATCCCCTGTACCATGATGTATCGTATCGTATCCCCTGTATCATGATGTATCGTATCCCCTGTATCGTGATGTATCATATCCCCTGTACCATGATGTATCGTATCGTATCCCCTGTACCATGATGTATCGTATCCCCTGTATCATGATGTATCGTATCCCCTGTACCATGATGTATCGTATCCCCTGTATCGTGATGTATTGTATCCCCTGTATCATGATGTATCGTATCCCCTGTATCATGATGTATCGTATCCCCTGTACCATGATGTATCGTATCCCCTGTACCATGATGTATCGTATCGTATCCCCTGTATCATGATGTATCGTATCCCCTGTATCATGATGTATCGTATCCCCTGTATCGTGATGTATCATATCCCCTGTACCATGATGTATCGTATCCCCTGTACCATGATGTATCGTATCGTATCCCCTGTATCATGATGTATCATATCCCCTGTACCATGATGTATCGTATCCCCTGTACCATGATGTATCGTATCGTATCCCCTGTACCATGATGTATCGTATCCCCTGTACCATGATGTATCATATCGTATCCCCTGTACCATGATGTATCGTATCCCCTGTATCGTGATGTATTGTATCCCCTGTATCATGATGTATCGTATCCCCTGTATCGTGATGTATCGTATCCCCTGTATCGTGATGTATCGTATCCCCTGTATCGTGATGTATCGTATTGTCTCCCCTGTATTGTGATGTATTGTATCCCCTGCATCGTGATGTATCATATCGTCTCCCCTGTATTGTGATGTATTGTATCCCATGTTTCGTTATGTATCGTATCGTCTCCCCTGTATTGTGATGTATCGTATCCCCTGTATCGTGACGTATCGTATCGTCTCCCCTATATCGTGACGTATCGTATCGTCTCCCCTGTATCGTGATGTATCGTATCGTCTCCCCTGTACTGTGATATATTGTATCCCCTGTATCGCGATGCATATCGTCTTGCCAAATTTTCACCAATACATAACCCTAATTGGTTCTGATCTTATCTTGAAGACAGGGGCTATGTGGTTTCTATTGGGGATCACAAATCAAAGCTGATCACCATGACATGTGGGGTCCCCCCAAGACTCAATTCTTGGACCACTGCTCTTCAATCTCTACTTGCTCCCCCTGGGTCAGGTCATACACAATAACAACATTACCTATCATAGTTATGCAGGTGACACCCAGATCTACCTAGCTCTATCATCTAGTGACTATGGTTAGACCAGGGGTCGGCAATCTGTCCCAATCAAAGAGCCATTATTACCAGTGTCCCACAGTAAAGGAGACACTGGGAGCGACAGCAGCTGTGGCATTGTGGGTGGGGCCTACCGGGCCTGAGCAGGTGTCGCTCTTTGACACGTCACACAAATCGCCTTTTAAAACATGTTTAAACTGTTCAGAATACAAATCCAGGCTCTGTCTCGTTGGATTGTTGTAACTAAACATGGTACTGAATGAAATGGTAAGAAAAGGATCCGATCAATTAGTGTTTTCCCTCATTTACAGTAGAGATAACGGTGCAGAGTGCGTGGCTCTGGTGGTAACCATGTTTACTGTTTGTCTTTGCAACAATCTTCACAAGAAGTTAAAAGAGTTAAATGACAGGGTTCACAGTGACCGGATATTTCCCGTATTTGACCTTTGACCGTATTTTACTTTGACGGAGAAACCTCCAGGCTGTTGGTGGTTTTGAAAGAATGACCCCGACGCAGGCAGATGGCTGACATTTTAATGGTAACGCACATGGCGGAGGTAGCTAAGTCAGTCAGGAAAAGACTCCCATCAGAACATCTGAGCTGGACTCTGAGCTCAGCGCAGCTCGCTGTCAGCGCGTATGTGAGGTGGACAGTACGCTGACGATGTGGAGAGGGGCTTGGAGCTCGTCGGTCACCGGCAGCAGAACCAGGACCATGCAGGAAGGTTACTCTCACTGAAGCGAGTGTTTTCCTAACCCTGTCTCTCAGAGAGACTTGTCACTTAGAAAATGTTCCTGATGACGAAACTTTGGCTGAATAGCGCTTGTTCCTGTCTCCAATGTGGCGACGCATCTATGATCCTGTCTGAGGAAAAGTCCAGAAGCTCATATCCTCTTCAGCTCAGGAAGCTCCTATAGAGACGTCTGATTTAGAGGCCGACCGAAATGGTTTCATTTTTAAGGCCGATTTTTAAAGGATTTTGTTGCCGATGGCCGATATCTAAAGCAGATTATTAAAGCCGATATATACACAAGTTTTAGCAGCACATTGTTTGTGAAAGACAACTGAACACTCACTGTGTACAATTGACATTAAATAAGTCAATAAATCTTTTCATATTTATTGATCTTCAAATATAAAACAAACCCAAAACATAAAAAAATATATATTGTCTAGATAAATCAGTCAGCCTCTAATCTGATTACACACAAGCAGGTGACCTGTCATTTCAGGTCTTTACCATTTTTGTTTACATTTTAAAAGATGACAATCTTTACTTCTAGAATTATGTTTATGTTGTATTTAGCAGACGCTTTTGTCCAAAGCGACTTACAAGTGATAATCGGCATGTTGCCCTTGAGGCTAACAACAACAACAACTACTTGACATCAATCATGGAGAGGAGGGAACAAGGAGTGGACAGCAGAGGGGGGGACGGGTGCAGGGAGGGTGTTAGAATTGGTATACAGATAAAAATGAATGCAGTAGCAGGGTTTCTCCTGGCTCAAACCGAGGCAGAGGTGGTACCATCCTGACCGTGCACCAGCACATGCGTAATCTGTGCATTCAACTGTCTCACTTTTTAAAGGCTAAATATTATAAAAGGCTCAATAATATGCATTAGATTGGTGTTTAGTTCCTTTTTCCCCGTCTGATATTTATAGTTAAAATGTTTTTAAACATGTGACCTACATTTCAGTAACATGTTAGGTTTGTATTAATAACACTCATCTTAGTCACAATAACACATAAATGTATGCAGTAAAATATAATGTATTTCATTAACATGCATTTGTGTTGGAAATGCTAATAACATGTCATTTCTGCTGCTAACAACTAGCTCCAAGCTGGTGAAGAAGGCTCACCAGCGCCTCTTCTTCTTGAGGACTCTGAGGAAGAACAACCTGTCCTCAGACATCCTGGTGAACTTCTATCGCTGCACCATCGAGAGCATCCTGACCAACTGTATAACTGTCTGGTATGGGAACTGCTCCGCCTCGGACCGGAAGGCGTTGCAGAGGGTCGGGAAAACTGCCCAGCGCATCGCCGGAGCACCACTTCCTGCCATAAAGGACATCTACAGGAAGCGGTGTCTGAAAAGGGCTAGGAAAATCATCAGAGACCACAGTCACCCATCACATGCACTGATCACCCTGCTGCCCTCTGGGAGGCGCTACAGGAGCCTCCGGACTAAGACCACCAGGTACCGGAACAGTTTCTTCCCAACAGCTGTCAGAGTCCTGAACTCTGCCTCCTGACATATGACCCACGTTAAACCCATGGACTGCTTGTATTAACTACAGCCTGTACATACTTACAGTCATAGAATATTCATAACATACTTCATACCGTGTACATTATAACATACATAATAGATGCATTTCTGTAATATACTTACACATCTATATTATTACTAATATATATTGTAATACATCTATATCACGGCTAAAGCACTTCTGGATGGATGCAAACTGCATTTTGATGCCCTGTACCTGTACATGTGCAATGACAATAAAGTTGAATTCTATTCTATTCTATTCTAACAGTGTAATGGTGGCGTGTCTGTTATGTACGGGTTAGGGTTGGGGGGGTTCCGTTTTGCCTTGGCCCCCAGAATGCCTTGATACGGCCCTGGGTGTGTGACTGAGTGTTGACGGTGATCTGAACTGTATCAGATGTATAAATATTACATGTGTATAACTTGTTGTTTTATACAGGTGAAAACGTGTAGTGGAGATAAATCTACCTACATTTTACTTTTCAACACTTTGTTTTCTTGTTTTTATTGAACTACTTCCTGTCCTGTCTGTCTCTCATCTTCCTGCATCTCCTCTAAACTCTCCAGAGAATCTGCTGCCTGGATTCTTACTTTTTCACCACTTCTGAACTACGCTGATGAAAGAGACCTCCTGACCGCAGAGCGGAGAGCGCGTTTCGGTGCTGCGTGAAGCTGTGTGCTCAGTGAGGTGAAATCACCGCAGCACACGATGAGCGAGTGCGTCAGGAACGATTAAAAGACAGAATACCAGAGGATACAAACAGATATGAACGATCATGTGTTCACTATAATAGTTTTGTTGCAACACCTTGAGAATGTTTCGTGCGCCGGACGCAGCGGGCGCACCAACGATCAGCGCTCTGCGTCCTCTCCGCTCAACAGAGCCCCGCTACGCTGAGAGTCCATAAATACTGTAATATAGACAGAAACTGGATCTCTCCCTCAAAGATATCTAGCCCCCATAACTCCATCCCTGCTCCTGCATGAAAAACCGGACGTTTTGATCCATGTAGGACCCCCCTCTCCCGGACGCCTCGGACAGAGAGAGGAAAGTTGACATGTCCGGGGGAAAGAGGACGTATGGTCACCACCAACCACCACAGATATGTACCAACTAGCAAGAAAAGCTATGTTTGATCTTTTTCTGCAGCGGTTTCAGCGCTTTTTGGTGCACCGCTGCTGATACAGCGCCCTGTAGTGGTGCAACGCTGCAACTGCAGTTAAAATAACGTCCATATAGCTGGGGGCAGAGTGAAATCAGGCTGGGGCGGCACAACATTAGCTGGAGGCGGCCGCCACGCAAACCTGAAGGCAGGAAAAACACCGAGTAAAATAAAATACATTTTAATTAAATATTCATTCATTATTTTACTAACACAGAGAGCCACATCAGATGGATGAAAGAGCCGCATGCAGCTCCAGAGCCGCAGGTTGCCGACCCCTGGGGTAGACTCACTCTGTTAATGTTGGGAGCAAATGAATGACCTAATGCAGTCAAACTTCCTCCAATTAAACAAAGACACAGCCGAAGTGGAAGTTCTTAAATCTTTACGCTGGTTACCCAGTAAACTACAGAATCCATTTCAAAGTGCTACTGCAAGTTTATAATTCAATTATTCAATTCAGTTCATTTCTACAGCACAAAATCACAACAGGAGTCGTCTCAAGACTCTTTAGTAAACATTGCAATTGAATCCACTTCAGTTCATTTTACCAAATATTTAAAAGTTTCCTATATAAGGAACCCAGCAGGCCGCATCGAGTCACTGACTAGTGTCAGAGTCTTTACAGCAATCCTCATACTAAGCAAGCATGCAGCGACAGTGGAGAGGAAAACTCCCTTTTAACAGGAAGAAACCTCCAGAGAATCCTGGCTCAGTATAAGCAGCCATCCTCCACGACTCACTAAACCACTCAATGGCAGAGTACATGTCAGATCTCCTTCAGGTACCTACGCCCAGCAGGGCTCTGAGATCCTTAGAAACAGTCAGCTGGTAGAACCGGGTCAGAACCAAACAGGGTGAAGCTGCTTTTAGCTACTATGCTGCTCACAGATGGAATCAGCTTCCTTATTACCTCAAACCTGCCCCAACTCTAGTAGCTTTCACATTTTAATCTGCCCTTTAGTGGCTCTTATGCTGCACCTTCTGCACTGTAGCTTTTCTCTTGGATCTACCTTTATGTGTGTATTTTAAACCAGATTATGCACACACACACACACACACACACACACACACACACACACACACACACACACACACACACCGATTTGTGGCACATTTCAAACATGATGGACAGTGCTGGACTCAGACTGAGGTAAAACAGACTTGGGTCACATGGTTACAGATGTCTGCAGACCGAGCAGATATGTGATCCAGAACCAGAACCTGGGTCCAAGAGTCAGAATGAAGATATGGTCATGTTCCTATGACCCAAGTGTTGGTTTCCACAAAGTTCTCTGCTTCTGTGTTTCCATGGTTACTGAAGCAGAACTACATCCCTTTAAGGCTTTTATTGATAATGACATGCAGCTGACCCAAAGAGTCCACATCTCCAGTGCTGGACATTCTTGGATTCCCGAAGCCTTCTTCACAGTTAGTAGCATTATTATTATTATTATTATTATTATTATTATTATTATTATTATTATTATTATTATTATTATTATTATGGAGGGCTGCAGTTTATTTTCAAGCAAAACAGGGAGTTTGTAATGAAGCACAGTTCATCTCCTCTACATCATTCAGGGGTTTACGGGTGAAGGCTTGCTGTGTGCTGACGCGCATGCGTGTCCCTTGCTGCCTGAGGCCAGAGGAGTCCAACATCTGGATGACGAATAAAACAAAGTTCATAAATTCGCTCCAGACTCAGTAAGCTGGCCACTCCTTAGTGACACCTAGTCAGAAAGACTGAACGTCTAGGGTGTATCCTTGTTTCAGCTGCGCCTCCTCTAAAAACGGAACATAACACGTTTATTATGAATAATAGAACATGACACTAGAGCACCTCTCCCTCCCGAAGCTGTCAGTGCTAGCATAGCCTAGCCGTACCGCTAGCTTAGCGGCTAACGTTACCCACCTTGGTCTTCACGCTGCTGATGTCCCACGTCGGTCTCAGTTCTTTAATCAGCTCCAAAGCCCCCTCCGTTACGTTTAGCTCGTCCACAAAAACGTGTATTTTTCTAATAACCGGCGAGCCGACAGGCACATGTATCTGCGTTTCCATTCCTGAGCAGCTTTTAATCTTCCAGCGCCTCTCGGATATTTACAGTTTTAAGATTTTAGGTCGGTTGGTTTTATCTGCAGAGGTTTTCTCGCGCTGCGGGAGCTTTAACTAATTACACAGCTGGCTTCGGCCCGTTCTACTGGGGCAGAGAGAATGTATGGACAGAGCCGGCTATGGATGCTGGGAGCCGGTTTCCTTGAGCAGTCGGTCAGCTGTAGCGGTCCT